TTTTATTTTCTTCGTATTGGCAAGATCCAAGGAAGGCTGTGATGACCACGTGAGCAGGGTAACTAGAAGGGTTCTCTCCTTCCCAGTTTTTTCTTTTTTTTGAGATGGAGTTTCGCTCTGATTGCCCAGGCTGGAGTGCAGTGGCACGATCTTTGCTCACTGTAGCCCCAACCTCCCAGACTCTCACCTTAGCCTCCTGAGTGGCTGGGACTATGGGCGCATGCCTCCATGCCCAGCTAATTTTTTGTATTTTTTGTAGAGACGGGGTTTTTACCATGTTGTCCAGGTCTCAACCCCCTGGGCTCACGTGATCTACCCACCTTGACCTCTCAAAGTGCTGGGATTACAGATGTAAGCCACCGTGCCAAGCCTAACTCCTACTTTTCATGAGAGCTCATAGTAACCACTTTCATTCTGTGGGCCTTTGTGATTCTGGGAGAAGGCGTAATCTAACAGGGGTAACTATGGTAGGCTACATACCCCAAGATGAGGCTAGAGGGGTAACCCTGAGTACTTCATTTGCTTAGCACAGATTTTTCAACAAATGGAAACTATTCTTCATTCTACGTTCCCAGATACTGTTGGGATTCTTGTAAACACACTTCCCTTTTTTCCACATGACTAACACCTGCCTTTCTTTTCTAACTCCTTTGTCTTATTAAATCACCTTCCTCTCTCTCTCTCTCTTTTTTTTTTTTTTTTTTTGAGATTGTAGAATTAGCTGGAAGGCAGAGGATTAAGGAAGAAAAAATTGGTATCTATTCCTCTGAAAGTCTATTGGTTTTTTGGTTTGTGTGTTTTGAGACAGAGTCTGGCTCTGTCGCTAGGGCTGGAGTGCAATGGCACAAATGCAGCTCACTGCAACCTGTGCCTCCGGGGCTCAAGGGATCCTTCCAACTCAGCCTCACAAGTAGCCGGGACCACAGGCATGCACCACCACACCTGGCTAATTTTTGTATTTTTTGTAGAGACAGGGTTTCGCCATGCTGGCCAGGCTGATCTCGAACTGCTGGGTTCAAGTGATATGCCTGCCTCAGCCTCTCAAACTGCTGGGATTACAGGCGTGAGCCACTGTGCCTGTCCCAAAAATCTACTGCTTTTTCACATACAATCTGATCTTATTCTATCCCAGGGCTTCAGCAAGATGCTGCCTCTCTCTTCTTGGACTTTCTGCTCAAGGTCATGCTCCAGTGCCCTATTCTTTTGTGCATCAAATTTAAATCTATCTAGGCTGGCACAGTGACTCACGCCTATAATCTCAGCACTTTGGGAGGCTGAGGCAGGCAGATCACTTGAGGTCAGGAGTTTGAGGCCAGCCTGGCCAGCATGGTGAAACCCCGTCTCTACTAAAATTACAGAAATTAGCCAGTCATTGTGGAGCATGCCTGTAGTTCCAGCTACTCTGGAGGCTGAGTCACAATAATTGCTTGAACTCAGGAGGTAGAGGTTGCAGTGAGCCAAGATTGCACCACTGCACTCCAGTCTGGGCCACAGAGTACAACTCTGTCTCAAAAAAAAAAAAAAAAAAAAAAAAAAATTGTCCAGGTGCCTGTAATTCCAGCACTTTGAGAGGCTGAGTAGGGCAAATCACCTGGGGTCAGGGGTTCGAGACCAGCCTGATCAACATGGTGAAACCGAATCTCTACTAAAAATACAACAATTAGCCAGGCATGGTGGCAGGCGCCTGTAGTCCCAGCTACTCGGGAGGATGAAGCAGGAGAATCACTTGAAGCTGGGAGGCAGAGATTGCAGTGAGCCGAGGTCATGCCATTGCACTCCAGCCTGGGGGACAAGAGTAAGACTTTGTCTCAAAAATAAATAAATAAATAAATTGAAAAATTAATTCAAAATAGATCCAAGATCTCGATGTAAAAGCCAAAACTACAAAACTCTTAGAAGAAAACATAGGGAAAACCTTAATGATACTGACTTTGGCAATGATTTTTGGATATGACACCAAACACACAAGCAACAGAAGAACAAATAGATAAATTGGACTGCATCAAAATTTAAAACCTTTGTGTCTCAAAGGACACTCACTGTCAACAGACAAGGTGAGGTCAGATGCAGTGGCTCACACCTGTAATCCCAGCACTTTGGGAGGCCGAGGCGGGTGGATCACAAGGTCAAGAGATCGAGACCATCCTGGTCAACATGGTGAAACCCCGTCTCTACTAAAAATACAAAACATTAGCTGGGCATGGTGGCGCGTGCCTGTAATCCCAGCTACTCAGGAAGTTGAGGCAGGAGAATTGCCTGAACCCAGGAGGCGGAGGTTGCGGTGAGCCGAGATCGCGCCATTGCACTCCAGCCTGGGTAACAAGAGTGAAACTCTGTCTCAAAAAAAAAACAAAAAACAAAAAAACAAAACAAAACAAAAAAACAGAAAATAACAAGCATTGACAAAATTGTGGAGAGACTGAAGCCCTTGTGCATTGTTGGTGGGAATGAAAGATGTGGAAACTATGTGGCAGTGACTAAAAATATTAAGATCCAGCAATTCTGTTTCCAGGTATATACCTGAAAGAATTGAAAGCAGGGACTTGAACAGATATTTGTACACTCACATTCATGGCAGTATTGTCACAATAGCCGAAAGGCCAAAGCAGCCCAAGAGTCCATCAGCTGATGAACAGATAAACAGAATGTGGTCTATACACTCAATGGAACACTATTCTGTCGTAAAAAGAAGGGAAAGGGCCGGGTGCAGTGGCTCATGCCTGTAGTCCCAGCACTTTGGGAGGCTGAGGCGAGTGGATCTCTTG